GGGGGGTGGGGGGGAGCATGTAAAGAATTTGTTACACTTTGTAACAGGGGGGAGGGGAGTGTGAAAAAGTCATTTTTGGCGTGACGTTATTTGCGAATGACCCCGGCATGGGCACTCTGAGAAATTGCCCAGGGCCTCACGCAGCTTGGGGACCTTGGGCGCCCACATTATGAGTCAAGGTGGGTGACATGACCCAAACTGGAAAAAAAAAAATGAATATTTGAACTTTGTCCCTATGAATGTAAAATAGTTTATATAAAAATAATAAATATTATTCCTTTGTATATGTCGCAAATGACTTACGATGATGATGAGTGTCAGATATGGTGTAATTTAACAACTGTGCCCACACCAACGACACTTTCAAGTTGAAGAACAAATGAAAAGTAGTGACCTGACCATTTCACACTCGCAGGAGTTTGAAGCTGCTGTCACTGGTTACCAGAACTGCGATTCATCACTATCAGGATCACTCACATTTGACAGTGAAAATCAACAAATAATAATTTTGGCCGTGATAATGGCGATCAATGATTTTGATTTGGATCGATATATATCTATTTATTCAACATCCCAAACTGCCAGATGTTTTAGAATAACGTTTGCTTACAAACCCATACCGACAAACAGCTATTTACAATTCCAGCCAGGATTGACTTGGCAAAAAACATCGTTTTCATTGTATGCCTGGCTTGATCAGTTTTCTCCGTGGCTTGTTTACTTGTTTTATTTTCCGGCAACACATTCATCGCGCATACCAAGTGGCATTTCTGGCAACATCTCAGTACAATGACTTTCCTGAAGGTGCTCGTAGTCACGTGGACCAGACAAGGTTCACGATAGAGCTGACCGCGCCCCGTTCAACAACGACTGTGTTGTTTGTTAGCCAATCTCTTCCCATATATTGTGCACAACTATTCATTTAAAACCTTTCGCATTTGAACGCCTCACTAATAGATGAACAGAGAAAGAGAGTGAGATCATCTACTTTGGCGAGAAAATTGCGGTCATCAGATGACGAGACGACAAATTAGAAGTTATGCATCAATAAAACGGGGCCGGGGGGGGGGGAATTGGGATGGGAATATGCAGTCTGGCTTGGCCATGGGGATGAGTGGTGAGCATTATATATAATTAGTCTGGACAGATAGTAAAGCGGAAAAATTATAATTAATCAACCAATAAAACTTTAACAAAAAACATGCAATCGGCGTAAGAAAAAAAATACATAAAAAAAAAAAATTATCTAATAAAAAAAAAACATGTAAAAAAAAACAACAAAAAAAAAAACAAAGGGAAGTGACTCTTATACAACTTATTCGGCAACTGATATACCGTATTTATCGGCGAATAACACGCACCATTCGCGCCGCTATGCGGTATGTACTATGGGTCCTTAACATTTTATCATTTGCCCCCTATTTTCAGGGATAAAAAGTGCGTGTTATACGCCAATAATTACGGTAATCACGTAAATGACGTCATGGCATCTTTTCAAAGCATTGGAATCCCACCCCCCCCCTTTTTTTTTAAAATATTATTTTAATCCATTTGATAATTACTTTATTTATTTTTCTTTTGGTTGGAGAAACAGGAGAAGATGAACTGTCGACTTATAAGTTATAGATAGTAAAATAATCGAACTTTGTTATTTGTTGAAATTAAAGCTGAATGTAAACCGGGTTAGGGTTAAAGTTAGGTAGGCGCAGAGGGTGCCGGTCTGGCGTACCGAAGGGCACTCTCAAAAGTGGGTGAAATCAAAAGTTAAAATTAACAAGTTGACAGATCTCGCTCGTGTTGGTGTCATACAATTTCTAAGATAAATACAAGCCCAGTGTGCTACAGACAGAATGACACAAGAACGGGGTGTCACCTTGTGCTGTCTCAGGTGTTGAATGCAAATTAAGTCACGCTCAGTGTGGGAGGGGGGATGGGGTCGAGAATTTGTGACAGGTGCATGGGCACCCGCAGGGGGGAAAGGGGGGGGGGGCACTTGGCCCCCCCCCCTTCCCTGGATTGATTGGATACAAAATTTTTTAGACAAAAATAGACAAAATATGTATTAAAGTAAAGAGAAAATAAAGAGAAAGTAACTAAGCTGATGTCCTGTCCGTTCGTTTACAATGCAAATACGCTACAGTAAATTAAAACTACATTAAAACATTACTAACAAATTTTTGCCCCCCC